TAGATAGTAAATTATAGATAGTAAATTATAGATAGTAAATTATAGATAGTAAATTATAGATAGTAAATTATAGATAGTAAATTATAGATAGAGATTGTACATATAAAGAGAACCTCTACCCGAGTATTATTTAAATTACCCGGTTATCCGGGTAATTTATTATAACCATATAATAAAAATGTTTACACTGGTACAATCCTTTAAAATTAAGTCAATATGGGTTAGGTGCAATATCTGCAGAACTGTCGCATAAAGATAAAGGAAGATACAAACAGGCGCTTCCTATAGGCTGCTGTAGACCTGTAGACCTTTACACCTAACTCAGCTCCCCACTGAATATGCAGACCTCACCTTTCCCCGGGACATGGGCTGACAAGAAAGCGAAGTGCCTAGTAAATATCACTTGGGCCCTAGTAAATATTCACTCGGCCACTTACAGAGACCATACAATACCCACCCTCACATTGAGGGGCGTAAAGGTGCCATCATATTGACCATAGTTTAGGATAGAGTTTCTGGTCTACCCTCAATTACTGTTGCCAGTGAAATATAAGCCGTGTTCGGGCCAACCCAATTTCCAAAATCCGAAATAATTTTTGCCAATAAAAAATAATTCCACCGAAGCGATATAATTCCGGTTCAAACTTTAGCCAGTGTAAAATAATATATTTCGGATTCACCCAAAACACTGCAATAAATTCTAAACCATCCCACTTGAAAAAAAATTGCTTATATTCTTGGCCTTTACCTGACCAGAGCACCGATCCTAAGCTCGAATTACATTTAAATGAAAATCAACTAACCTTCTTATCGTTTGAAGTTTTCTACTTATTAAAAATCCGGTGCCCTGAAAACAACTACCGAAGAGTATTCATTGTCATAGAATTACTGTGTACATACTTAACATAATGTACATAATTGTCATATTAATATAGTGTACATAGTAATTATGTACTTAATAATTGTAAGAAAGTATATAAGACCCACCTTATAACGTAGAACCGGCATAATGAGTAGTAAACCACCAAATCATAAGTACTCGTGTAATCCCTCGATTAATTATTACGTAATCTTGAATTCTAATCTATTGCTCAGACCAAGTCTTTCACGCCACTTCTGTGTCAAAGTTTATTTCTTTTTAACCGTTTAATTTGTTTTTCGTGACGTTCTTCGATAAATTATGTACTCTTTCTTACAATTGAATATTCGTTGACTTTGATGAGAAATTTTGAAATGCTGTAGACAAGGCCTATCGGATTTTTGTATCCTTTTTTGAAATATTCAGTGCCAAAAAATTTCAAATACCAACTTAATTTAATTATCTTTTTTAAACGGTTGAAGATTGCTTATTTTCACATTTGGACATTAGAGTTTTCAATTTGTGGCATATGTAAATCGATATATTCGATTGTTTATCTAAGCCTTAATGTAATTAATGAAATAACTGCTTACAATATTAAAATACGAGCTTGAACAAATTTTGATTCATTTTTTTTTGGTAAAAGAAAAAAAAAATAACCGAAAATATTATAATTTAAATAATGATCAACTAATGTAATATTAATATTTATTAACTACGTACGTAATTTTGATTCTAGTTTCGACTGTTCATACCGTTCCGACCTAACTTTCCGAAAAAAAAAAAAAAATTTATTTGTGAGAATTTCTCAGATAGTAAATTATAGATAGAAAATTAGAGATTGTACCCATAAACAAAATCTCTACCCTAGTTTTATTAAATTACCCGCTAATCTGGGTAATTTATTATAGCTATATAATGAAATATCTACCCGGGTACAATCTCTTTAAAATTAAGTCAATATGGGTTAGTTGCGAAATATATGCAACAACTGTAGAACTGTCGCATAAAGATAAAGGAAGATACAAACAGGCGCTTTCTATAGCTGTTGTGGTCCTGTAGACCTTTACACCTAACTCGGCACCCACTGGGTATGCAGACCTCACCTTTCCTCGGGATGTATGCAGTGACAAGAAAGCGAAGTGGCCTAGTAAATATTACTTGGGCCCTAGTAAATATTCCCTTGGGCCACTTACAGAGACCATACAAGTCCCACCCTCTCAGTGCACCCCAAATGCATTTAGAGCACAGGATATTGAGGGGCGTGAAATGCCATCATATTGACCATAGTTTAGGATCGAATTTCTGGTCTACCCTCAATTATTGTTGCCAGTGAAATGTAAGCCGTGTTCAGGCCAACTCAATTTCCAAAATCCGAAATAATTTTTGCCAATAAAAAATAATTTCGCTGAAGCGATATAATTTCGATTCAAACTTTAGCCAGTGTAAGATAATATATTTCGGATTCGCCCAAAACACTGCAATAAATTCTAAACCAACCCACTTGAAAAAAAATTGCTTATATCCTTGGCTTTTACCTGACCAGAGTATCGATCATAAGCTCGAATTACATTTAAATGAAAATAAACTAACCTTCTTATCGTTTCAAGTTTTCTATTTATTAAAAATCCGGTGCCCGAAACAACTAACGAAGAATATTCGTTGCCATAGAATTACCGTGTACATACTTAACATAATTTACATAATTGGCATAGTTAATATAATGAACATAGTAATTATGTGCTTAATAATTGTAAAAAACATATAAGACCTACCTTGTAACTTAGAACCGGCAGAATGAGTCAAGTGCTCGTCTAATCCCTCGATTAATTATTACGGTCCAAAAAAATTAGTTTCCGTGACGTAATCTTGACTTCTAATCTATTGACAATAATTACTCATACCAAGTATTTTCACGCCTTTTCTGTAGCCAACAATTTATTTCTTCTTAACCTCTTCGATAAATTATGTACTCTTTCTTACAATTGAACATTCGTTGATTTTGATGAGAAATTTGCCTATCGATAGGAATTCGGATTTTTGTATCCTTTTTTGAAATATTCAGTGCCAACGTGTCACTAATGATACGTTGAAACCGCTTTTCAACAATTATTAGACCTTCATTGCAACGTAATTTAAAATTTTCAAATACCAATTTAATTTAAATACCTTTTTTAAACGGTTGAAGATTGCTTATTTTCACATTTGGACATTAGAGTTTTCAATTTGTGACTCATAAGTTGACAAAAGTACTTAACGAAGCGGCATATGTAGATCCGATATATTCGATCGTTTATCTAAGCCCTAATGTAATTAACGAAGTTGAAATACATGCTTGAACAAATTTCGCTTCACTTTTTTTTTTGCAAAAGAAAAAAAAACACGAAAATGTTAAAATTTAAATAATGATCAACTAATGTAATATTAAATTTTATTTACTACGTACGTACGTAATTTTTGCTTCTAGTTCCGACTGTTCCGACCTAACTTTCCGGAAAAAAAAAAAATTATTTGTGAGAAATTTCTCAGATAGTAAATTATAGGTAGAAAATTAGAGATTATACCCATAAACAAAATCTCTACCCTAGTTTTATTAAATTAACCACTTATCCGGGTAATTTATTATAGCTATATAATAAAATGTCTACCGGGGTATAATCTCTAGTTCAGAGGTATGTCCTGTCATAAAATAAGCGGATATCAAGAAATTAAGCAAACATTACATAATAATAGCTTAAAGAGTCCAAGAACTATTAAGTGTTCGCTAATACGTATTTCGATTTATAATCAAATATGTAAATTAATCAAAGAAATCGCCAATTTTTATTGGCTGATCAATATCTAAATCACCTGCATAAATCTGTATGTACGTACATACGTACGTACAAATATGTGCGGAAATTAACGGAAAAAATTGCCAAATTCTGGACCCCTAATCTGGATTCACAAATATTTACCCGATTCAAATTTGTTACTAATACAGTAAAACCTCTACAAGTATACATGATTCCTTTTTACCTGCCAATAAGGGAGCATCCATAATTTACGTTAAACCAGTACTGTATTGTATAAAGATAGGGGCCTTAAAGGTAATGACATATGGAAGATCCCTAAAACAATACTGGTTTAACGTATATTGATGCCCTAATCCATTCCCTACGTACAGTACGTATGTACATTGTACTCCGTTCTTGGTATGATTGATAAACCGATAAATTAATTTATTAATAACAATATCAGATATATACGTAGTTAACTCTCTTTTTACAAGCTTTTTATAACAACCATTGTATGATTAACTTGTTACAATATTTTCTTCGCATCACTTTTAATAAGGCGGCATCCATAATTTACGTTAAACCAGTATAGTTATAGAAATCTTAAGGATAATACAAAACTAATATCGTATGGTATTATTATCAAGGTCCTATTTCTATACAATACAGTATTGGTTTAACGTAAATTATGGATGCTACCTAATTGAGTTAATTATATTACCAAAATTTATCGTAAACAATGCGGGGTTGATACTGAAATTTTGGGGGCCTTTTAGATCTATAAAACCTATTCTTTTTCATTCTTGGTTATGCTTACGCCTTTTTAATATGCAACAAGATCCACGTATGTACGTACATTTGATTTATTACCTTTTCAGATTATGATCGCCACTCAAGGAGTATATAGAAAAGTCACTTTCAAATTTCCGTCAATTAATAATTGACGTACGTAACGTTAAAATTGTAAAATAACATTGGAAAGTACAAAAAGCATTGTTTTTACAAGAAGGGCTTTTATTTAATATTTTTTATTTTTGTATTTTAACCAATTTCTTATTAGATGTTTCATGATATTTCGAAGAGGTCTTATTAGTTGAGTTTTATTGAGGTACCGTGTTCATGAAATCTTCAATAGGATAACCGTTTATCCAACTGAATATTCAACACTTCGATAACTCCAATTTTAACTAATTTAAAGGTATTAAGAGCCCAATAAAGCTTAGTTTTTGTGTTTAGTTAAAACAGTTAAATAGCGATTATATTTTGAATAATAAATTATACTTTTATTTTTTTTAGCCATTCAACTATTCACATAGCTCATTAACAATTTTTCAAAGAGTTGAAACAAAAATAAAATGAATGCTAATAAAGCATTTGAAGTCATTTTGCAAAAAAAATAATAAATAATCAATTAAAAAAATTCTTCTAAATTAAAAAATACTTTTATTAAACATACTTTAGATTTGATGTATGTATGTACGTTACATTTAATCGGTATAAAATTTAAACAATTATTAATTGACGTAAATTTGAAAGGGATGTATAATATATTAACCGTACGTAGGATGATCAAAATTTAGTATAATTTTCGTACGTACGTCCATCTGAATCTATACTACTGCACAGTACTACTTTACTGAATACCTCCACTCAAGTGCCTTCTTTTAGTCATTGGCAGTACCTATGTAATTTCGATAGCAGAATCTAAGGTCATATTATTAATCCCCAGCCAATAATGTCTAAAACAGCTAAAAAAAAACCAAAAAATATAAATAACTAAATAGTATAGAAATATCTATGATAAACAAAATATCCAACCCTATGATTTAAACTTACGTGGTAACTCCTGCCTTTCCGCATTGTCAAACTGTCTGACACCACTATATTCACCGTATTTCCTCTTGTTATTTTTTTTATCCTTTGGAGGTGCTGTGAAGCTTTACCTTTTCCTTTTACATTGTTAATTATGTTTGTCACTTCACCCAGCACTTTCGACCCGTCCAAGATCTTATTTACGTTTTTGGTGTCAGTCTATGTAAAAAAAAAAGAATATAAATAAATAAATAAATAAATAAATAATATTCATGAGAACTACCATAATAAAATCAGGTCAAAAATGTTATTTATATCTCTGACTTTTACGATATATTAACCCTCTTTGCTTCTATAAGACTACTGGCTTTGCTAGAGGTTTCTTCTGAATTTTCAGCAACCTCTTCCAACATAGTATAAAAATCTTTAAAAACCTCTCTTATATCTAATGTTTCTTTTGTCATAATCCTACAAGCAACGTAGGCTTCTAGAGACCAAAGCCCGGAGGGGAGAAGACGAACGAAGTCAGTTGGGTGCATTATCAGTTATTACGAGTTATGAAGACGTGAGTAAAGTTAAACAACAAATTTGACATGAAACAAGAGTAAATATCAAATCCGATTTTTTATGGTTTGTTTTGATTGAGATGATGATTTTCTGCAGTGATATTTATTTATTTTCAAAAATAAGTAAATACCACCGCAGAAATCATAGACCCTAGTTTTGATACATATCTGATATGGAGTGCCTCATATTAAAAGGGCCCATTTTGAGATTTTCGGACTGATCTGGGATTAATGATTTTTTGCGGTGATAAATTGCCAATTCCATCCGTGACAAAATCTGTTTTCATAATTCCCAGGTCCAATTTTTAATGGTGTAATAACTATGATATCTACATCACAAATTAAATTATATCATTGGCCCGATTTCAAAAATTATTACCCATATTTAATTGATATTAAACATATTTATATCATATTTACGTAATAAAGTTCTTGCTAAAACATGTTTAATAAAATTTTCATAATCAATAGTATTCATAGAACCTTCTTGAATACAACACAATAAAAGACCATTAATACACAATGCATCTTCTATGGTGAATCGTCTTCCTCGAACAAAAAATGCATATTTTTGAGCTGAAAAACTCTAGCCATCGTGATAGCGTTCTTCTGTCATAAGCAGTTTCATCTAAAAAAGCTAACTCACTTGTTTTATACTGAGATTCGTAAAATGAAATTGTTTCTATCAACCTCATTTATTTCTTCTCTATAGATAAAATTGTTATAAAATTTGTAAAATAAAATATTTATAAATATACGAAATATTACCTTTTTGTGTGTGTATCCAAGTCGGTATATGCCCAACCAAAGTTCCATCTCTGATTGTAATTCGTACAAGTATCAGTAAGGGTTTTCATTCATAAAGTTTAAGACATTTTATATCGTTCATGTTTTGAGAAAGTGGTTTCCTTGAAAGCGGCGGAAGTTTTTCAATACAGCAATATATTTGAAAATGCACAAACCCAACTTATAGAAAACCTAATAACACCTAAGTGTTTTGCAATATTTTAAATTGATGGGCCTTTTAAATTTTTTTTCAATAATTTGCCAACAAATGTGTTTTGAAAGTGTCATATTTTTTGAATTCAACAAGAGATGTGTATAATTTTACTGTATATTAGCCACCTGATTTTAAATTACATATATTACAGTGCTATATCAATTTTTTATTGAATTTATTATGCCGAAATAATAACTTAACCGGATCAGCCAAAAAATCATTTGGTTAATTTTTTATCAGGTGTTATGAAAACAGCTGTAAAATTTTATGAACTCTGCGTAAATTCTGCGTTGCTATTCATAAATTCTGTGTTGGTTGTAATAGAAACTTCTGCAATAAGTTGATTGTTTATTCTTCAGATATCAAGCAAAAATTTTAACTCGGCCATGCTTGTATTTTAGGCTCATTTATTTTCTACACTAAAATTTTCGGAAGCTATATATTTTTAGCTTTTTAGCATCATGTGTACTTATAAAAAAAATTATAAACCCTACTTTCTGCAACAATTCTGTGCTATTCTTGACGTATTCCATGTTTAGGACATTCTCAGGATTAATCAAATTTCACGATTTTGATTGGTTTAAGGTAACAGGTGACTATCGTGATGTACAAAGCAGGGGAGACATTTGAATCCGATATATTCCGGAGTAGATGTTACACAAGTATTTATATAGCATGGTACTTTAAAATCGAAAAATTTCGCGTATAATAAAACTCAAAAAACATTAAGTATCACATGATACTTTATTAAGTGAATAGCTTCGTAGCGACCCCTTCTACATTGCATCAAGTTGCATCAAGCTGTATTGGGTGTCTGTTATAAGTAAGAATAGACGACAGTATTGGAATGTTAGAAGTTTAATGAAGTTCTACACAATCTTACGCTTTACCAAACCACGAGATTAGTGCTTG